CCAGCGGAAAGTGGCTGGTCGAGCCCAGTGGTTATGATACGCAAGAAAGATGGCTCGTATCGATTTTGTATAGACTTCAGAAAGGTCAACAAGGTCACCGAGCCAAACGCGTATCCCCTAGCGTTTATGCAAGATATATTGAGGCTCTTACGAAACGCGCGCTATATCTCCACACTCGACCTCAGTAGCACGTATCACCAAATACCACTCAAGACCGAATCTCGACCTATCAATGCCTTTACCGTGCCCGGACTGGGACATTTCCAGTTTGTGTGAATGCCATTCGGTCCCTCGTACGCCGGCGCCACCTTCCAACGGTTGATAGATAGCGTGATCGGACCCGAGCTTGGCGATTTCGCCTTTGCCTATTTGGACGATATCATCATAGTATCGTCCAAATTCGAAGATCACCTACAACATCTTAAAACCGTGTTGGATAGGTTGTGTTGAGCTGGCCTCTCGATTAATCGAGAGAAGAGCGTCTTCTGCAAGCCTGAGACCGAATACCTGGGTTTGTTGATTAACCGCGAGGATATCAGGCCCGATCCTGAAAAGGTACGCTCTATCGTGCAGTACCCACGACCAAGAAACGTGCGATAGCTGCGCACCTTCCTGGGGGTTGCTTCATGATACCGCCGATTCTTGAGTGACTTCGCCACACACGCTCAACCGTTAACGAAATTGATGGGGAAAAAGAGCAAATATGTGTGGGGACCAGACCAAGAACAAGCCTTCGCCAAACTTAAGGCCCTCATGATATCCGCACCGTGCCTCGGGTTACTGAAACCCGACGGGCAGTACGTGCTGGAAACGGATGCTAGCGCTACGGGAATCGGCGCCGTCCTGATTTAAAGAGTAGGAGACGGTGACCGGATCATCGAGTCCGTTAGCAGAGTAAAATTACTCTACCAGGGAGCGCAAGTGCTTCGCGGTTGTATGGGCTATACAGAATTTCCGCCCATACATAGAGGCGTACCGATTCAGGGTGGTAACGGATCATAACAGTCTGAAATGGCTGTACAACCTGAAGAACCCGATAGGACGTCTAGCCCGATGGGCCTTACAACACCAAGGTCATACTTTCGAGATCGAGTATCGAAAGGGGGTCGACAACGTATTACCCGATGCGTTGTCGCGCGCCGTTGAGCTCACGAAGGCTGAGGTTAGTGTATTGGACTAGTCGAAGCCAAGTGACAAAGCCTGGTACGCGGAACAGTTCAGACGTGTCGAGGACAATCCAGCAGACTACCCGGATTGGAAAGTAGTTGGCAAAGTGATGTATCATCAAAGGCCGAGCTGCGATTACCAAGGCAAAGATGGGTACGAGGACGCATGGAAGCTTGTCGTGCCACCGGAAGATCGCAAGCCGGTCCAGTTCGAGAGCCAGGACCATGAGACTGCGGGACATTTGGGACGCGAGAAGACCTTCGCCCGCGTCGCCCAGTACTACTATTGGCCAATGATGTACGCAGACGTCAAGGGTTACGTCTAAAAGTGTCAGGTGTGTCAGCAGTGTAAGGTCGAACAACGACTGCCGCGCGGGCTCATGCAGGATCGGATGTTGTCCACGCCTTGGTAAGTGGTAGCGGGCGACATCGCCGGACCCTTTCCGAGAAGCCCTCGAGGGTACGAATACATGTTGGTATTCATCGACTTATTCACGCGATGGGTCGAGTGCATACCTAAACGTAGTGCCAACGGTAAGACGATCGCGAAGGAACTCCGGGAACGAGTAATCCTGCGCCTAAGATCTTCCTGTCCGATAATGGCACCGAGTTCCGCAACCAGCTGGTAGACGGATACCTGAGAGACCAAGGGGTAAACCGGACCTTTACCCCGACCTATACCCCACAGGTTAACCCTACCGAAAGGGTTAACAGAACTTTGAAGACGATGATAACCTCGTACCTGCGAGGGAATCACAAGAAATGGGACTGAGTGTTACCTGAACTCACGTTCGCGTTGAACACTGCTGTCCACAGTTCCACGGAACCAGCCCTGCCATGCTCAACTACGGCAGGAAACCGGAAGCCCCGAATACCCTTCGGAGACGAATGGACGAGCTAGTAGCTCGAGAGGAAAGTTTGCTCCGAATCGGACAATGTGTGACGAGAGCAGGCCGTGCGCCGGTCTCTCGTCCGCGTTTCTCCCTCCCCCACTCGGCTAGGCGCGGTGGCCAACGTTAGGCGCATTAAAGTATGTGTCTAACACTTGGCCTTTTGTTTCAACGCCAAAGACGAGCCAGCGCAGTTGAGCGCAAGAAAAGTTGAAGAGCGCGGAGAGAGAGTGAGAAAGAGAGAGAGAGAGAGAGTATTAGGCCTATGTAGGGATTGGCAGGCGCGCAACGCGTGACCGATAAGCGACGCGTCGCGTGCCGCCTAAATAATAGGTCAAGGTAGGGAGAGGAGCGAGCGCCGCTGAGCGACTGCAAGATGCGCGTAAGAATTAGTGCGTGAGGAGAGTCGCAGCCGAGCCCTACTAGAGTGAGGGAGTCTAAGCCTAGTCCTACGAGAGTGCGGAAGTCCGAGCCCAGCAGAGAGAGCAGTTTGGGATAGCCGGGAGGAAGGAAGATCAACCCTTCCGGCAACGGCTTTGCCAGCATCTGCAGCCAGCCCACCTGCCAAGAGAGTCAACGTCGCCTACGGATACCTGGTCAGCGACAGCGGTTAGCGACGATCTGACCAGCGACGACGCCCGGTACTTCCTGCGGCAGCACATCGCTCAGGATTCCCGACGTTGCGACGAACAGGAGAATAAAGGTCAAGCCTTCCTTTTCTTCTTTCTCTCTACACTCTCTCTCTCTGTTGATGCGACGGCCGGTGCGCGTTGAAAGAGATAGCCTGGCACTCACGTGCCGGCTATCTGAAGGTTCGCGCTAAGATTAATTTGTAGTGACGTAAGTTGCGACCGGTGAATTGTCCAGGCGCCCACGTGCCGGGCAATTTACCCGGTATTAGTCCGTGTAGTTTTTAAGTAAGTTTGTAATAGGTTAAGTACGCGATTTGGTATTAGGATAAAATGCGAAGTGTTCATTTGTGATTATCTTAAGTAGTTTATTGTTCGATTTGTAGTTTATTGGTCGGTAATTTAGATTATGTTATGCGCGCGTATGTTCTGTGTGAATAGTTATTAATAATAATAGGTTGTAAGTGAGATTTGATTCTTGTCTGTGTATAATTTATTTATCAACCTCCCCTCGTTCTTCTCTCTCAATTGTCATGAGCGAAAGTGCCTCACTTACCCCGCAAAAGAATTGGTAACAAAGGATCAAGTTTTGTTACAAATGGAACGAGCATATGCAGAATAACCGATTCGTTATTCAGCAAGCTCGCGAAAGCGCTTCGGACGAGTCCCTGAGGCAGGCGAGATATTATAACGCCAAGCACAGGACACCCGGATTCAAGGAAGGGGACTGGGTATGGAAGAGAAATTGCATACTATCCAGTGCGACGCAGGGTATTTCCGCAAAGCTAGCGCCAAAATTCGTGGGTCCCTACATAATCACTAAGGTACTCGGAGTCAACTCGTACTGCCTTGCCAACCAGCAGGAAGAGGTCACGGAATTGGTCCACGCCAAAGACCTCAAGCTCTACTATGGACAGAAGGATGCCTTACCGGAATATGGAACCCGACGGCGAGATGACGACGATACCTCTACCACCGAGGGAACCGAGGCGACGAGCATTCCGCCTACTGCGAGCGATGCGACAACACGTGGAAGCGGACACGCCGTTACTACGGATAAGACAATCCGGAATGATAGCGCGACAACTTCGAGCCAACCTCGTCACACCCCTTCCAATTCTTCCGATAAGACCCTATAAACCGCCCCTCCAACTAACACAGCAAAGCGCCCGCGAGGGAGACCTCGCAAGAACGCTGTAACCACCCGGACTACACCATACCGACAGAATCCACGTGTTCCTCCTCCCATCGTCGGGAAAAGGAAGAGGGGTAGACCGCCGAGAACACTGACCATGGATGCATGAGGCCCTACGAAGAAAGGACCTGGGAAACCGACACAAAGAACCCCACCCTCAATCCCGGCGACGAAGGTCCTGGGCAGCCGAACAGGCGCCCACCTTCGATATCCGAGGAAAGGGTCATAGATACTGACACATGTGACTGTTACAGGATGAAGATCCCTGCCCCCGTGGGCAGGGCCACACCCATACCAACACGCAATTAAGTTGCTCAAAATATCACAGAGAATATGACCTTTTATTGTCCTTCACCCTCTTAACCTCCAAAAGAATAGCGCTAATAATTCTATTGTCGAGGACCCCATAGGTCCAGACTAGAAGGGGACTGTGACGGTAAACGTCTTATTAGCGCTAACGGCCCAACCATGCGGCCGCCTGCGAGGGCAACACCTACCGGTTGGGGAGGTGTGACGAGGTTATTCGGCACGCGACGGGACGGAACGCGCGCATACGAAAATGAACCAGTCGAGGATCAGCTATTGATATCGCCTGAGAGAGTCGAGGATTAGAACCGGATCGCAGAGCTGTGCAACAAATACATTTGACGTTTTCCCGAGCTTTCTTGAGTACCGAGACGAATTAATTAGGAGAGACAGGAACTGTGCCATCACCCGACATAGACAAGTGTGTGTAAGCGTGCGTGTGTGAGGAGTTTCGCCATCGAGGGCGAAATCGACAGCGAGAGCCGATCAACCACAGAAGCGGGCTTCCCCGAGTTACGTCTACGAACTTTTTCTTTCGTTCTCCGTGCGACTGATAATAAGGTAAGCTGGCCAGCTTAATTTTGCGATCGTAGTAGAATTGTCTATAACTAATCTCTCGTACTCCGTAAGAAGCGTGCATGTATTAACCCGGCGAACAAAGAGCGGCGAACGATCCGACACTGCACGTTGTTGTCGCGCGCACGTCATGTAAACATAATCCCGCACGCTCTTCGATACGATCGCGCGCATAAATTAAATAAACGGATAGCTACCTCGTTACAATATATATATATATATATAATATTGTACTAACCACAACTTCCATTGAAGGTTTTCATTGCAGCGCCCACAGCAGTTTCAAGTTGAATAATATTTAGTCCATTATCAAATGTTTTATTATTTACGATTATTTCCAAATTGAGCGAATTCTCTTTTAATACTCTATCGATCGCTAATAGGAGAACAAATTATTATAATTATATAATAAAAGAAATGTATAAAATACAATACTACATATACTATTGAATACCTTACCATCAATTTTTATCCATAGATTATTTGTATTGAAATATTTGAAAGTTTTAACGGATTTGAAATCTTCTATGTGCTCTCTTGGAACCTGTGCAAGCTCGAGTAATCTTAATTTATTTTCGTACTGAATAAGAGTACCACCCTATTATAAAAATGATAATTATTAAATGGTATTCAAATAACGTATTAAACAATTATAATAAGAAAGAAATATTTTATCTAAAAGTATACCTTAACATCGGCTCTGGTTTTATCGGTAACTTCCATTAAAAATTCAATTTCAGCGGGTTTTTCTGGTCCTAGTAGCAATCTTAATATTCTCATGTCCACAGTTGCCCCTAAATTATCAATATTTGAAATAAAACAGTATTGTCGTCCCTGTAATTAATAAAATACCGAATATTAATATATAGAATTATTAGATATAAAAAAAATATACTATCTAGAGAGTATAGGCAATAGTTGATACATTCAGTGATAATATAATGTCTAATATGGTTAATAGCCTAATAAAACAATTGATATAACTTGAACCAAAATAATATTTTTCTACTTCTTTTTTTAAGATTATATATTATATATGTTAACTGCTATTAAATTCATGTCAAAGAATTATGTACTTCTTATTTAGTAATGAAGTACTTGTACCGAACAATAATACAGTAAGCATAAACAGGTTTATAAATCGAAATTAGTTGAAATTAACTAAGAAATTTTCAATCAGTTGGAAGTAACAAGCCTAAACGATGCTCATGATAAAATTTGCGATGAATTAATTTTCCAGAAAATTAAAAATGAATAATTATTTTGCCATATATAAAGTTTTGTTTCTTATTAATCCCATATAAGGATATACATTGTAGACTCAGATGCTTTACATCTATTTGAATTTCTACGTATATATAGCATAAAAATTATATTGGAAGAATTAAATTACATTGTTGCGAGGGAAAGAGAAACAAACATCTTGATCATGTCGAAATAAAATTGATATTTCTATGGTATGATGATTTGGAAACAGATTATAAATATGTTACAGGCAAATTTTAATTGTATTCCAATTTTTTATTACCGTTATGTTGATGAGGATAATTTTATGTATAAAAAGAGATCATTTACAGTTAGTGCTAGGTACTTTCAACAATTACAGTGAACATTCAAAATTCAATCATGAAATCGAGTATAATAACAATATGAATTTCTTAGATATTACTATGTAAAAAGTGATTCACCGTCGCCGCGCTTTTACCAGTAATTCTTTATAGGGATATAAGAGAGGCTCTTTCACTCCGAACAATCGAGGGAGGGAAAAGAAGATAGGTTAACGAAATATTTACACGTACCGTTTATATCTAAATGCGAAATCTTATTACTAATAATAAACATAAACTCAAATTTGTCATTCCAAATTAATATAACTCAAACGATCTTTTACTTTATATCAATCAAACAATCGAACTCAACTATTTACATTATTTGAAAAACACAAACTAGTCATATTGTTACGCAAAAGAAAGGAGCAAATTACCCGGCGCGTAAGTGCCTTAACGATTTTCGTCGTACATCGAGAACGAGCTCTGTTTACTTAGAGCATCAGCCTTCCCCTGTCTAATAGAAAGTACCAAACTCATTGTCGGAATCGCACAAGAAGAGTGAAATTAGGGCATTTACCCTTGGTGAGGGCACGTCATCGATTTATTACAACGGCGTCTTCCGCACAATAGCAGCAGTACAGTTTTAGCTCATGCCGGAGCGTTTCAACCACTGTCTCGCAGAGTCCAACCTATTGCTTGGACTCAGAGGGAAAATCCTCTCATTCGAATTAAGAGAAACCTTTTGGGCTTAACGTCCCACCATGCATATCTGTGTTCGGCTTACAAGTCTTCCGTTTCGACACGTTGTGTGGATCTCCCTGTTGTGCTTTCTGGTTGCCAGTTACGATCGTAGGTGACCTAAGATTTTATAGTCCAGAGACTCTTTCTATTTTGAGTTGGCTGATTCTTTGGTTCAGCTTCGTGAATGTAGCGAAGGCCAATTCCATGAACAATTCTTTGGAATAAAAAATCGTTCAACGTGGAATGCCGGGCTGACAAAGATTTCTCTCTGTTGGATGGCTATTTCAGTCTGCTTTGGTTTCGTGGTTTGCTCCACGACTGGATTTTAATTCAGCCCAGCACCTCAGTTTATTTCCATAGTGTATGTATATGTCTGAGATTTTAGAGTATGAATTGAAGGAAAGGAATTGTTATGACTTTATATGGTTTTGCGACCGTGGGAAAGGAAACTTACACTACATAGTTGCGTTCAATGCGACTGCATCGCTGAGTGTACCATCAGATGAAAGCGTCCGACATTTACCTACTTACATAGTAAGTTTTTCCCAGCTTCCACCACTTGGAGGTTATCGTGTCCACTTATGGAAGGTCATGAGCCTGTGGATATTTTCACATTTCATGTCAGACACCAGACACCGTAAATATAGCTTAGCTAGTTTCAGATGAGACTGGAGAACCTTCCTTTGGGTTGACAGACCGCCGAAGTGGTCAACCAGCTGAGGCAGCGTTGAATGACGGCCATAGAGAACGATCGGGACCGCCTCGGAAGCCTCGCAGTAAGGAAGATGCGTGGAAGGCCAAGGTACGGTATCGAACTCTGATCCCTCATCTTCTCAAGGGGAACGAGTTCACCTCGGCCAGACTCAGCACGTTAGCTAGACCAACTTCCCGACCAAGCCCGACAAAGCTCCTCAGAGCCTTACCGGATATAACACAACACGAAAACCAATTAAGGTAACCGGCACCTGAGCGCTTCGCTACACCTTTTCCCTACAAATTTCTACTTATTAATATAAAGGAAGAGAGAATAAATGAAAGAGATAAGAGTGCTTGACCTTTGTACTGCCGATTGAAAAAAACAACACGGACCATGACAACACGTGTTGAGGTGCGGCCTGTAAACGCCCAAACATTCAACGCCGAGTCTACCACACCCCAAGAGCTCAACTCGAGCCCAGAAAAGCCAAAATCCGGGATTCACTTGAGGGGAAATCTCTCGGGATTGTGGTACCGCGCGCCCTCTTAGAGGACGGGAGACCGCTCCGGGAGCTAGTTGCAGAGGACCAATGGTCCCGGCAATCCGAATTTAATTCGGGTAGAAAAGAAATTACTTCCTATCGACTGGCAATCGGTAGGTGCCACTACTGTGGGTAAAGAGTCGCGGCCGTGGTCATAGCAGCCACCCAAAGTTCTTTGCCTCGAGCTCCTGGAGTAAGGCCCGACACCTTTGTGCGAGAGAACAGTCCATTGGGCCGAGTAACTCTCGATGACTAGAACGCACTACGGATGCCGAAACCCTTAGGAAAAATATTTTCACAGAAGGGCAGCATCCTTCCTGCTAAGGAATTGTTTAAGCCCTAATAGCTAAAGCAATTTTGCAATTGAAAGCGAAATTAGTGGCTGTCAGCTCTCTTTGAAAGCGAAAACCATGCACTAAATTTCCATCAAATCCAGTGCTGCTAATGGTAAACACAGGCTAAGACGATAGAAAAGGCGAAAACCCGACAGGCTCACTCAAGTGCTACTTTGGTTGCAATTCGTCAAACACGTAACCCTGATCTGACCAAAATGAGGTTTGACTAACATCAAACCTAGCGTGAAACGAAAACACGCTGGTACACTCGTAAGTAGTATTAAGTTATATTATAATCAAATTATAATCAAGTTAGTTTTAAGTAGTTAACAATAATTTAAGCAATAAGTTAAGCAGTAGTATTAAGAATAAAATTAAGAAAAGTTACCAATCAAAATCAAAAGTAAAATTAAAAATAAGAAAAATTATAGATTTAAGATTACCTAATCAAATCAAAAATTAAATAAAATTGAATAAAATAAATAAATCAAATAAATGATCTAAAAAAAAGTTAGAAAGCTAGAAAAATAACTAGCTCGAACAACTGTAAATATAAGAGCCATGGAAAACCATGGAGAAACCCGATAAGGTAACGAACGAAGCTCAAGTCAACACGCACAAACATACTCACTGCTTGCACTCGAACGCCACTTGCTTAATTTGAACGCGCACGTTAACGCTGAAACTAAAATCGAAAGCCACACTCCAGAATCGCCAGCAGCGTTCCCAAAAGAAGAAAACATATAACTAGACATTGCGTTGTACCTTGAAAGCGATATGGTCAACCATTCTAGGTTTAGAAAGGCGAGGAAACGTAAGCAGGAGGCGACCGTCGAGAAATCAGAGCACTGCTCTAACACTCCGGCGTCAACTCAGTTTTCTTTGAAACCAAACAATTCTGACGAAAGAAAAGACGATTGCCCACCAGTTAAGAGGTTTAATTTAAACGCACAACAAAACCCTGAACTGGGCCCGAAACTGAGGATCATACAATTGAACCTCAACAAAAGGCAAGTAGCCAACGATGAGCTGGGAGAAATCATGACAAACAGAAATCTTGACATACAGGTGGCACTGGTGCAAGAACCATATCACTGGAATAACGCGATTTCAGGTATGGGCAGTGTCGCAGCCATTCATGTAGCCGAAAAAGGCGAAACGATTCAAGCTGCGATACTCTACAATCCGCACAAGGTCACTGCTACCAAGATTTCTAACCTGTGTGACTCCCACTGCGTTTGCGCACAAGTAGTCGGAGCCTTTGGCGAAATTTTTTTCATAAGCGTCTACTGCCAGTTCAGCCACAGCAGGAAGACCTATCTTGATAAACTAGCTGAGACTCTGAAGCAATTGAAAGGCAAAAGAGTCTTAGTTGGAATGGATGCAAATGCCAAGTCAAAGATCTGGTCTAACACATAGGACAAGAATGGAATAGTCATTGAAGAATTCATAGACCAATACGGGCTAATAGTGGCCAACAGGAGTGGCCAACTTCCAACGTGCCGTAGCACGAGGGGTGAGACGGATATCGATGTAACCTTACATACGTCAAATCTGTCAAACCTCTTGGCTAGCTGGGCGGTGAAAGAATGGACCACCAGTGACCACAGGCCCATAGTGATCGAACTGGATTTTGCCTCACAACCAGCCAGACTCATACGAACCGGAGAAACATTAGAACCAAGGTTTAATATGAGAAAAGCTGATTGGGAGAAATTCGGGAGACTTTGTAAATTCGAGAAAGAGGACCTATTCAACCTCCCTTTAGAAACCTCTGAAGACATTGAAACATATGTTTCTAAATTTGAAGAGGTTCTAATAAGGGCAGCAAAGGACTCTATTCCATTAAAAATGAGAAGAACGCGCTCTCAACCCTGGTGGAATCCTGACTTGCGAAGTAAGAAGCGAGCGATACAAGGACAACGCAAAATCGTCGCTCTGAAAGACAAGGAAGGACCGAATAGAAAACA